GCCTACTATTGTAAAATAGACACTTGAGTGGTATAGAAAGGAATGTTGGGAAACATGATTAGAGAAAACTTGTAAGCCCGCCTTCAGCCTATAACTGATTGGAATACCTAAAACGGGTTATACAACTTGCTCAGTGAAATAGTCCTCGTGCATAGCCTTTACAGAGTATAGGACCTTAGGTGGAATCCTGAGTCCCATCCACAACCTTGTGAGGTGAGACATTTCCACTAGAAAAGACAAGCAGACTAGAACAGCTACAGTGACTGAAGATACATCTTCATGATGAACCTTACCTATACTCAGAGCGATAGTTACTCTAAATACCAACAAAGAGGGAAAGAGTCTTCAAATCAAGTATCAATGCTATCTGCTCTGTACACTGGGTAGACAGGGATGGGCAACTTAGACACTGGCTACCTAAAATGAGGGGGCAATAAAGGCTTACAAGGTTTCAAGAGGGAGTTTAGTTTAAGAGTATGTGAGAAAGAAAGAGTCCTCACTGAATAGCTGTCATCTTGTCTAGATGGGTCTGGAGAAAAAGAGATGGGGATAAGATTCGTAAGATTCAATAGTGAATAACTGTTATCATGACTAACCACGACTGTCACAATTGTAAAGATGGAAGTTTTGTAACAAAAAAAGGGGAGTAGTTAATCTTACAGTCCAGAAACAGAGAACCGCAGGACCATCAAGAGAGGAACGCACAAGCAGAATGTGGGACCTTATCCAGAGAAGCAGCAGCGCCGGAGATGGAGGCAGAGATGGGGACACGGAGAGGGGGAACAGCTGAGGACTCTAGATTCATGGACTAAGAAGAGAAGGACCAAGAGCTGGTGGCCAGTAGCCAACTTGCAGAATGTGCCTTTGGAAATGTAAATTATTATATATGCCTGAGTGTTTTTTTGTTTGTTTGTTTGTGTGTTTTTTAAAAAAGCTAAAGTGGATAGAGAAATACTGTTAACTGATGGAACATGGAGGGGATTATAAATAATGTAATGAAACAAGGTATATGATTTGTTGAATGTAAATTTGATGATATGCCCTGTAAACTTTCACTCAATCCCCAATAAAAATCTTTAAAAAAAAAGGTAAAAAACAAAAGGTGAACTGTGAAATATGTCAAGGGGTAGAAACAATCTTAATGATCTGAAATAATATAGTAGAAAGTACTACAATGTATTATACATTCTAAAAGTATTATCTAAAAAAAAAAATGGTTTTTTTTTGTGTGTGTGTGTTGTTGTTACTCCAATCAATATAAAGTAAATAAAAATCCTCACCACTGGACCAAGACGTAACATCATGATAAATACAGGAAAGATTGAAGTTGTCAAAGACTTCACTTTGCTTAGATCAACTATCAAGACTCACAGAAGCAACAGTCAAAAGATTAAAATGACATATTGCATGAAGCAAATCTGCCAAATAAGACCTCTTTAAAGTGTTCAAGACCAAAGATGTCAGCTTGAGGACTAAGATGTGCCTGACTCAAGCTCGGGTATTTTCAAAAACCTCACATGTATGTGAAAGCTGGACAGTGAATAAGGAAGACCGTAAAAGAATTAATGCATTTGAGTTATGGTGTTGGATAAGAGTATTAAAAGCACCATGCATCGCTAAAAGAACAAACATCTGTATTGGAAGAAGTACAGACAGAATGCTCCTTTGGAAGCCAGATGGCAAGACTCCGTGTCTCATACTTCAGACACATTATCAGGAAGGACCAGTCCCTGGAGAAGGACATCATGCTTGGTAAAGTGGAAGGTCAGTGAAAAGAGAATGATCCCCAATGAGATGTACTGGCACAATGGCAGCAGCAATGGGCTCAATAATAACAATTGCAAGGTAGGTGCAGGACCCGGAAATGTTTCGTTCTGCTATTTTTAAGGTAGCTTTGAGTTGGAAGCAACTGGATGGCACCTAACAACATGTGTCTATACACTGGATCTCAACATAAAACATGTCTGAAATAATGTGTACTGTCCATGCTATTTAAATAGTTATTTCTCTATATGTACCTAGTTTTTGGCCCAAAGCATAATCAACCAGTTAAGTATATAATGATTTGTTTCTTTTCTAACAGCAAACAAACTTACTTTGTTCAACAGCTTAGTTATATTTTGCAGCATTTGCCATAGAGTTGTCCACTAATCTTTGAAGACCTTTAGGGGAGTCACAAGTTAAAAAGTATTATTTTAAAAATAATTTTAAGGAACCATTTGTCTTTTAATTGTGTTGACGTTTTCAATGATGGTGTAAAAAGAAAAAAAAAAAAAATCTCTGCTGTTGAGTCAAAAATTGCTGACTCCCTAGCACAAACCAAGTCAGAACAAACACTGCATTTCATGGTCTTACACCATTGTTTTGAACTCTATTCTTCAAATCAGGGTTGACTGTTGTTTTAGAACATTAAAGAAATAGCATCTGTAATCCCAAATATATTATGGTTACCAGGAGCTGGAGAGATGCGGAGAAGGGAAACCACTGTTAATGAAGTAGTGAGTTTTGTTTATAGCCATGGGAAATTTGACATCAATTAAGGATAACAGTTACAGAACCAACTGATATAACTCATTAAAAAAAGGAAATGAATTCGTTTACCTGACATTGGCGGCGTAGAACAATGCAAGGGTGGGCCAGCACATTTTCTGTAAAGAGACTATATAAAAGCCATCATTTATATAAACAAATACATATATAAATACATTTTCAAAAATACTACCTAATGTTTCAAATATCTCTTTTGAAAGCATTCTTCAGAAAATAATTATGGAAGTATAGCCACAGGCTTAAAATACTAATCGTGACAAATACACATACACCCATTTACTTAAACATTAACAATATATCAAATGAACAAAAGTTACTTTAAATCTAAACACTAAGGCTAAATAAAAAATAACTTTTGCAGAAGGGCAAACTTTAATATGCAAACTTTGTTTCTATTGACATTAACATCTTAAAGTTTAACTATGATTAAACATTGAAAATAAGGCCTTTTGTTTTTCTTGATTAAAATGTTCAAAACAATGAAGGTAATAATGGCATGAAATGTAAGCCTTGCATAAGTTCAATGTTTCTGAAATGGATTCACTAAAGATTACAATAATCAAAACTGAAGACTTTTCTTACACAAAATATTGATTAGAAAAAATTTTAAAACACTGATCATCAATAACTGATTGTGAACAAAACCTAGATTCTGTGCTGCTATTTTGTTAGAATTCAAATTGTTATAACATTTGATTTCATTCTTGGGACAGATCCAAGGAAGTCGTTACATTATTACACAATTACTTTGTGATTATAAAATTAACTGGCTAGTATATTATTGCTACAAACAAACAAAACCCCTGCAAGTTAAAGATTTTATATAGTGCTAATTGTCTTAAAAAATAATATTTAATCTGTTGCTGTAACGAATCAACCTAAAGAAAGCAATACTGACAATTTATTATAAATTAATTCAATAAAGGCAGATTTAGATAAAACATTACCTTGCAAGTCCAATACCGAATCCAGCAAATCTATTTAACTGTTCTACAATAGAAGGAATAGAATTATTTACAACCAATACTTTAGTTTACTATAAAACCTATAAACTTCATTTCTTTTAATAAGACTGTTCATTTGTGTTCCAGGTACCAAAGACAAATTCTGTTAGGAGCCAAGAAGGTCAGTATGAACTCTGTCAGGGTTTGTGGTAAACTGCAAAGTGTAGACTTCCTACAGACACAACAGCTTTTAGTTCTAATACAATACCATGTAGGTAAGATTATAGGTCCAGGGTTTATAAGCTGTGATTTTTGTAAAAATCCGATTGTTGTTGTTTTTATGTGCCATGGAGTCGGTTCCAAATCATAGCGACCCTGTACAGTGTTTCCAAGGCTGTAAATCTTTACGGGAGCAGAAAGCCTCATCTTTCTGCCGCGGAACAGCTGGTAGTTTCAAACTGCTGACCTTAAGGTTAACTACTATGCACGCTACCAGAACTCCTTAAAAAAATCTGATTATTTATATAAAATCTTCCAATTTTTAAATAGTGACAATAATTTTATAGAAAATTTAAATACTGTGTGAGTTAAACTACATAATATTCTGTAGGTTAAATATTAGCGCTACCAGTTTCTAATTTCTGACTGTACGTAATTGAAATTTTTTCCTATGGAAGGCTCTGATTGATATCAACACCAACTTTATAACCCATGTCATAAAATTAGTTATTCACTGCTATTGGTGGGAAGCACCAATGTTAAACTAATACTCACTAGTAAAATGCCTCCAAATTATTAACTTTGAAATGTATACTTTGGGTCATAAAAACGAGCAAATATGACTTTCTTCTTCCCTATATCGTTAAGTTTTATTTTATTTCTAAAGTTTTAAAATGTTTAATAGCTGTTTAATTAAGTCTCTGTGATAAGTTACAGGATACATAATAGGAAGCTTCAAAAAAGTTCATGGAATAAAGGAAACTAAAAGAAACTGGAATTTTCCACTAACTTTTTGAAGTCCTTTTATACATGCTACTACTGATGGCGTATCTATGTTGTTGTTGTTAGGTGCCATCAAGTCAGTACTGACTCTTAGTGACCTTATGCACAGCAGAACGAAACACTGCTCTATCCTGGGCCAGCCTCACTACTGTTGCCACACTTGAATCCCATCGATGCTGCCACTTGGCCAATCCATCTCGTTGGAGGTCTTCCTCTTTTTCTCTGACCCTCAACCTTACCAAACAGATGTCCTTCTCCAGTGACTGGTCCTTCCTGACAATATGTCTGAAGTATGAGCCATGAAGTTTGACCATCTTGGCCTCCAAGGAGCACTCTGGCTGCACTTCTTCCAAAATGGATCTAATGGTTCTTTTGGCAGCCTGTGGTACTTTCAATATTGTTGTTAAGTGCCGCTGAGTCGATTCCAACCCATATCGACCATGTATCGCGTTTCCAAGGAGCAGCTTTGGTGAGCTTGAGCCACTGAACTTGCAGTACAAACGACTTTGCAGTCTGATGCATTAGCCCACAGTGCCACACCAGGACTCCACTTTCAATACTGCATTACTGATACTGTTTACAGGCGGAAACAATTCTATGCATATGTCTAAATGGAAAAATCTTTACAAAACCAAAACTAAAACCAAACCCACTGCTGTCCAGTTGCTTCCAACATACGGCGAGTCTTTATGAAGGTAGAAGTGGTCCGTTGAAATTTCTAACAATGTAAATCTTTCCGGAAGCAGACTGCCTCATCTTTCTCCCAAAGAACAGCTGGTGGGTTTAGCCACCAACCTTGTGGTTCGCTGTCCAGTGTTGAACCTACTGTACAATTATAATGGTGAAACAGCACAGCCTCAGAATAAATGAATTATCCCTTATGAATACTTGGGATAATTAATTCATTTCTTTGTTTCTGCTCCTTGAAATAAAGTAAAGCCTTCACTATTCCCTTAGTCAGAACAAGACCATGTAACTATGGCCCTGGAAAACTATTTGATTCATCCTTACCTGGACAAACATACAAGCTAGATTTGTTGTTGTTGTTAAGTGCCATTGAGTCAGTTCTGACTCAAAGAAACCCTGTATAGGGTTTCCAAAGAGCAGCTGGTGGGTTTGAACTGTCAACCTTGCAGTTCAAACTAACCTTGCAATCCAGTGCATTATCCTGCTGCACCACACAAGCTAGATAGGAAGGTGCTTTTGACCAGGTAGGGTGCTTTTCTCCTTCTCAGCTTTTCCCTTTTTGTGTGTAAAGAACTATTAATAGAAAATACCACTGGTATTACTATTATTAGTAATTTTTACTACTATTATTAAGAAGATTACTATTATTAACATGATAGTCTCCCAGGCTTCTATCCTCCGTGCAAATTTACATGTACTAACTGCTGCAAATATAACAAGATGCTGTTTTTACTAACAAATTTCTCCTCATTGCAACCATTAGAACATAACTTTTAAGATGATGAAAATGTAAACATTGTAGCCTAAGAAGATAAATGTGTAACAATTGTATATGCACCTTGAACAATTTATCATTTACAAAAGATGTTCAGTACTCTCTTGGGATGCGTATGACACAAAGAAATGAACTTCAGATAAAAGCCAAAAAATGCTAATTGTATGAGACATGTATCAACCTCATTTGCTCACTGTACGATCTTTAAAGTCTATTCCTTCCAGTTAACCTAAATTGAATAAATATTATTTTCTTTCCAAATAAAAAATAAGGAAATGAGAATGCAGGTGTCAAAAATACAGTTAATAGTTTATATTGTTGTTGTTGTTGTTGTTAAGTGCCATCGAGTCGGGTCCGACCCATAGCGACCCTGTACAGGGTTTCCGAGGGTTATTAACCTATTATTCTAATAAGTCCAGGAAAGTAGAAGAGGCTGCCATTACTCCCACTTTATGAATATAAAAGATGTTACAATTAAAACACAATAATGATATCTTTATGTTGAAACTGCATCAGAGTTTCTAACGCGTTAGTTGAGTTTGTAGGTCAGAAAGAAAAAAAGGAAAATAAAGGTGCAGCTTGGGAATCCAGAAAAAAACAGGCATAACAATTCCTGTAATTAAAAAAGAAAGGAATTGAAGATGCTTTAGCCTACTATATGCCCTATATTTTATCAGCACTTATTCAGCACTCAAAAAAAAAAAAAAAAAAAAAAAAACCTCGAGTTAAAGTACTAACATCGAAAGAGAAATTTGACCACTC